TGTGATTCTGCAACAGATAAAATGAAAAGGTCACTGCCATTAGAGAAATAATTTTTACCAAGCTGCACCTATTTGTCTTCAAATCTAGTGCAACTTCGGAAAAAGTCACAGATGCAATCGATAGAACCACTCATGACTAGACTGGCAGGTAAAGAGAATGTGGTAGTTTCAAGAACCTACAGACCCATGCCTTGCCTGAACATGCTAAAACAGTCACTGATAACTGTATATACCAAACCCTGATTTTATCTTCAAAGAAACTTGTATTACCCACATAAACTGAACTGGAAATTATAAAGTAGAGATTGTTGTAAAGATAAAATTCTTAAAGTGTCTCAGTTCCAGTTTCCCAGGCAACATGGGCTTTTTCTAGAAAACTTAGTGCCTCTCTCTCTTTGCAGGTCCCCTGGTTCAGGCAATTACATGACTAGCACTTCCCATGCCCAGGGTGATGTATCTGCTTCCTGATGGCATTGGCTATGACTCTCTTCCTACTTCCACCCAGTGACTCCAGTTGTGGCTGCCAAGAAAACTCCAACTGATGAAGGATGAGAGGTAAAACCAGGACACACGAAGACCTGTTACCATCATCTTTCACCTGGATTCTCCTAAAGCTACAGCTTCTCATCTCATCACTATGAGCTACTAATTCTTCTTTCTGAGACAAAAGCCCAAAAGGCAAATGGGAAATGACTTGTCGGATGACATCACCAATAACTGAACATAAAGCAGACTCAAATGAGGACAAAACCTTTTGTATTTACTCAGTTTATATCAGCAATATGATTATCTCAAAGTTCTCCTAACAAAGCAGCCTGGCACAAAGGGGTAACAAAAAGCATAGTCACCCACAGTCACTGATTTGTCCCGGAACATCTCCATCTGGGACAAATTATTCTGCCATCTCTGCTCTGCCCAGAGGACCACACATATTGCCTTGCCTAGGGAAAGGGGCAGGGAAATGATGTAGGCTTTACTGTTGCCCTTGCCCCTGCAGCGAATTCAAAGGGACACAAAAATCCCTCATTTCAGACTTGTATGACATGGTGCAACCCTCCCTGGAGATAAGCAGGAACACTGGTCTCCCGTGTCCCCACTGTCCCTTTGGGAAAGATCATCACATCAGCTAGGCAGAGAACAGCCCCAGTTGACCCAATGTACTTTCTCTTTAGCCTCTCAACCCTTCTTCCTCTGGTTTTTCACGGCAACCTGAGTTTTCAGAGAATCTCAAAGTGATGATGACAAGCTGTTTGTGCTATCTCAATCAGCTGAAGATGTTTAAAATAAGGTGCTACAGTGAATAGGGAGTTGAAAACAAAATCCCCTGGGGTGGATGGCACATTGACCCAAGCCATTCTGATCACACACAACTCTGAGCTTCTATTTGGTGGATGACATTAAATGCATTAAAGGTTTGGAGTCCACATCTATTAGCTACTCTTTCACAGTCTGTGTACAAGATGATAGTGAAAACAAGTCCCATGCCCTATTCTGCCATACATGTTGACTGACTAGCTTCATTAGGAAGGAAGAATAAAACTGTTAATGCGACCTCTTTCTGTGAACTCCATGAAGTCCTAGCTCTCCTTTTTGGTGTCAAACGATCATCTTCTGTGAAAGGTTTCTGTGAGGTGAACACCATTTCCAGAAGGTAGGATCCAGGTACCGTGACATTAATGTTAACCTACTTGAAATCTTCCTACTTAATGGATAGACACAGTATTATTTAGGAATTAAGCTTCAAGCAACATTCTTAAAGAACAGGTTATAGAATTTATTATTTGTTAGAATTTATGCAAAATGGTAAATGTCTTTTAAAAAATTAGGCAATCTACATGTCTTGAATAACTTTGATGTTATCAATGTGAGCTGGTTTCTAGTATTCACCATACTAACAAGCCACAAATGTCACAAATTAAAGAAATATACGTGATATTCATTATGCTGACCAACCGTCTGGTATTGATCCAGGTATGGATAGCTGAAATGCTCGTGAAAGCCAACTGGGGAAGATGGCTTTTCTGATATAATGCCTGCAGTCCACCTCGGGGGTGTAAATTCCCCATTAGGGCACCTGACAGTTTTAAGAGTCAAAGCACAAGCTAACTAGAAATTATATAATATCACATTGTTCCAGGATGCAATATTTAAAATTAAACTACCTGCATCATAGCTAGATGTTAACAAGAATTATTTTCAAAGTGACTTAACTTTCCTCTTCATTCGGTTGGCAGACATGAAGGAAGGTAAGGTGAAAGCTCAGAGATTTCTGCCTTAGCCCAGGGAGCAGAGCCTACAAAAGTACATATGTAAGGTCTTCTTGCTACTAGGGAGTGAAGTCAGAGCAATCGTGGGTGTGTACATGCATGCATGCTGTGTGTGTGTTTTCACTGCTCAGAAGTAAATATTTTCTTCTGAGTTTTATTGTGGTTTGTTGGTTTGTTCCCATATTGGCTGAGTTTAACTTCCAATCTCCACTCCACTCCACGGTAGAAGAGTTCTTCTTGGAAGAGGATGCCTGAAATAAGGCTAAATTCTTGAAGTTAGATACAGGTCCAAGAGACTCTAGCACTTAGAATTGCAGAGGCTTCCATTTCAACCTGCTTCATCCTTTGAGTTTCAAACCCAGAAAAAAAAAAGACATTCAGCAGGACTAACAACTGTTTATGAATGTACTATTGCTAATTACTTATTGCTAAAATTATTAAAAGGCATTGCTTGGAAATGTTTACAGTATGTGATTTGATTAACAAAACTATTAAGTGTATGCTTACTATCATCAATAATTTTTACTATATGTTTATTTGTATTGGGAACACATTGTATGTTCCCTTAGAATTCTGACAAATAGAATCTTAGCTTTGAGTTTCAGAAGTTGTTCTGGAGATAATTTGATTGATTTTTATTGCTCCTGGTGGCAAAACTTAATGAGTGAAGACAACCTGAGAATCATTCTCACCATCAGAGTTGTCTAACAATGGAATGTAATTTTTTTTTTCAGTTTATCATACATATTTACTTAATCTATACAGAATCAAGTAGATAAAATCAGATTCACATTAGTGAAAAATCTCTACAAAATGTCTTTGAAAAGCAAAACAAGACTGCCTCTTAACAATTCGTATCCTCATGAAAGACGTGGGCTGTAAAAATAAAGCAGTGTGTTTAGCACAAACTAGAAGATATCTGCATCATTTTTTTCACAGTTATTTCCATCTACAGTCTGAAAGAGGTAGATTTTTCTGCAACACCTGAGAATTGAATTGTGATAACCAGGTGTAATAAAGGCAGTTGCATACATAACTGAAAAATACTGGTCTCAAGACCAAGAAATGTACTCCTAACAAGTCTGAGGATGAAATGGTCCATATTACCCAAGACCCAAGTTTTCTCTACACCTTGGAGTCTACTGCCACTATAAATAATACACATCACGATTCCATGATGGTGCAACAAATGCAATTTAAGTGAATTCAACATTTAAACCTTTTCTGGGCCAGCCTAGTAGCATTACAGTGTTCTAGAATATGGTAAAGGGTGTGCTACAAAGCCACAACACTGGGCTGGTGAGGTGATCACTGTAGGAAGACGTCCTTCTCAGAGGGTCCCATTTGTATTTTATTCACAGGGTGATGGGAGGAAGGGTTCTGAAAGGACAGTAAATGCATCCCAGACAGAATCCATATACTTCAACACTATAATAGCATCTAGCTAAAAATACGTAGTAAGCTGAAAGCAGTAGGCCAAGTACTGTTAATCACATTGCTTTAAAGCCCTTGAAAGTATGCAACAGGTCCAAGATTTTCAATCTTCCACACAGGACAAGCACCACAAAGAAACGTGGCGGGCTACACAAATGGCTTAAGAGCTGTACATCCAGCAGAGTTCTTGCGAAATGTGATCATTAGTACTAATTTTAAGGTAGATTATATTTCTGATCTATACCTGCATTTTTCCCTGCCCCCGCCCCAGGGAAATTAGTCCAGTATTTCTTTACTAGCAGAAGGGGGTGTACTCAAAGGAGGCTGTTGGAGGGTATCATTTCTGCTTCTGACTCATTTTGACAGTGATTAGATTAGATAATATACTTTGGATTTCTTTTCCTCCACTGTCTGGCTCCTTGAATTAACATGACTGATGGTGGAGGCTTAGATAACTATTCTCCACTCAAGGCGGTTTCCTATCTGTTGGACAATTTTCAATTCTTTCAACCCAGTTTAGACCATGATTGTGACAGGACTTTACAAATAAAACTTGTAACAAAGAGAAAACCTTTTTAACTGGACAAAACAGTTTATTCAGTCCAGTAAGCAATTTAACAAGTGTCAGTTTGATAGTTTTGCTCAGTGGAATGTGCTAACATCAGTTCTAGTAGAACCTTTTATTTCATAAAGCATTTCAATGCAAATTATACCAGGGACAAAGTCAAAACTTTAATCAGTGCAGCCTGATTAATCATTTGCATAACTGAGTCACATTCAACATCAAAACAATTAATTCAAAAGTTATGTGCTTAATTTCAAATCCTTCCTCCCCCCCCCCCCCCCAACCGATTCCAAGTGCAGAGACTTTGATAATACTGTGGGGTTTTGTTTTTGTTTTTTTGTTAAAAAAGATGGTAACTAAGAAGGGGGTTAGAAACAGACTGAATGCATAAGTAATAGATCCTGACTACTCTTGACACTCTGCCAAGCCTTCCCAAAGTAAAAATGTTGGTGCCAGTGTTTGTTTCGCAAATGAAATCAATTTCAGTTGCTACTGATCCAAAATGAAAATTCCCTTTTGAAAAACCTGGAGTATGTTGCTGGTGGAACTTTTGTAGTAACTTTCAAGTAGCCAGAAGGTATTGGAGGAACTTATGCCTAGTGAAAGCTACACATGAATTGACCATCATTGTCTTTGACAAGGGACTTAACAGTGATGGCAAACATGAACACCAGTTTTCAAAGAATAAGTGAGGCCTTCTATGGGAAGTGGAGAATATGTACTCAAATCCCGAATCAGAATCAAACACAAACAGCCATCCTCTACAGGAGCCCCTCGTGGTCCAAATTCCACACCTCATCTTAGTCAACTGACTCGATGGTCGGGGCAGAGCCTGTGGACAGGGGCTTTTGCACGGCGCTTCTCTGGCTCTTGGGCTCAGCCTCCAGGTGCGCTCCCAGGGCTCTTTTCGAGGAAGTGTTCAGCTCCTTGTGAGAATCCAGGGCAGCACAGGGCTGCATCACAGGTGTTGCTAAATCCCTGTCAGCCGCTTTGACGGGGACCTGCTCTTTCAGGACTTCCACCTTCTTGTTGAGCTCATTCCTTTCTGTTTGAAGAGCCCTGCACAGCTTCTCTAACCGTTCCAGTTTTATTTGAAGGGCCTTGTACTCTTTATCACGGACTGTTTTCTCTTCAGCCATTTGCAGAAGTGCTTCATTATTGTTTTCCCATTTGGTACGCCATATTATTGTTTCTTTTTCCAGTTTTTTAATTTTCTTTGTCATCTTTTCCATTTCCTGTCTGAAGGTTGTAAACAGTTCATTGCTTTTTGCCATGGTAGTCTGGAATTCTTCAAACTTATCCATATAAAGAGAAAGCTGCTGTTTTAGTTGTACTTCTTGCTGTTTCATTTGTTCATAGTTGTGCCTCGATTCTGTCGCTTCTTTTAATAAAAACTCTCTCTCTCTCTGATGTTTTTCATCAGCTTCTTTTATCAGTTGTGTCGTTTGCTGCAGTTTGGCATCCACGAGCTGTTGTTGCAGTTCCTTATGTTTGAACACCTTATCAATATGCTCTTCCCTCAGTGCATACTGTTCGATGAGCTTCTTCAGCTTCTCCCGCAGCTCGATGTTCTCCTGCCGGAGTTTGGCATTGTGGATGTCATGCTGCTCCAGCTGGGCTTGAATTTCATTTAAGGTAATCTGGAAATGTGCAGTTGCTTCTTTACGTCGCTCTTCTTCCTCTCGTGCCTGCTGCATATTTTCCTCCTTTAACGTCTTATTGTGACGCTGAAGTTCTCTGCAAAGAGACTCTAGCTTGCTTCTTGCCAAGATAGCCTTGCTGTGTTCACTCTGCAAGTGAACTTTCTCTTTCACAATCTGGGCTTGCTTCTTCTGCAAAATCTTCATCTGCTTCTGAACATTTCTGCTCTCCTCCAGAAGATCAGCATATTTCTTACAGAGCTGCCAGCTTCTCCTCTGGGGTTGAAAGGGTGTTTAGGGCTTGCATCAGTAATAAAACTTCTTTTCCTAAGGTTTTTTCTTTGTTCCTGTTGCACTCCGAATCTTGCTGACCATCAGGGGGATCTGTTCGAGCTTCTCCACCAGGGATTTCCTCTCTCGACTCTTCTTTGCAGTACGCTGGGCTCACCAAATTCCTGTTCTCTGTTATAAAGTCACTGCCTTCATCCTCTTCCAATGAATGCTTGTTAATTGTGCCGCCACAATTTGAGTCTTGATGTTGAAGAATATCATTTGATTGAGAGTTACACAACGTATCTGCCTTTACCCCTAGCCCACAAATTCCAGCTTCTTCCATTGTGCCAATTTCAAACCGGATGAAGCAGCTGCCATCTTGTGAGACGCTTACAGGAAGACCCATGTGGCAAGGAACCAAGGAAGGCCTCCGGCCAATTGCTCATGAGGAACTGAGGCCTCAGTCCAACAGCCCATGAGGAACTGAATCTTGCCAACAGCCAAAAGAGTGAGCTCCAAAGTGGATCCTTCCCAGTCGGGCCTTCAGGTTACTGCAGCCCTTGAGAGATCCGTAGAAACAGGCTCCCAAAAGCTAATTCTTAACACTCTGCTCAGATGTAAACTGGACCTTTGTTCTCCCTTTTGAAGTTTATGAACTGCATTAGAAAAATATTTCGTAATTTCATATAGGAGTTATTTTTAAAAGTGTTCAAATACATAATTAAGTAATATTAAATAGCCCTCGGTGATCAAGCAAGACATCCAACAAGTTGAACGTTTCAGTATGTTCACCTGCTCGTCTGCCCGCCCACGCAGTCTGGAATGCAATTTTTTGAAACACATGATTATCTCTTTTTCCTGTATTTCCTGTTGTTTTATGCTCTTGCATTACTTTTCTTTCTTGTCCACTGACATTTCTCCACCTCCATTTCCAAACTTAAATTCATAAACATAAGCCCAGGCAACCTTCTCCAGGTATCATCCCCAATATATATACATCTTGATTTTTTTCTAAATTAAGATTCTAAAGGAAATCTTCATAATAAATGAAGTGTGAAGCAGAAGAGGTAGAGAATAAAGTACAGGGATACAATAAGAGACCCAGTATGAAATCTAATTGGTCTATAAACTGAAGAAAGTCATTTTTCAGGGTCCAGTTGGGGCCTCAATGCCTCCTTAATTCTGTTTCCTAATTTAACCACCAAGGCCATCATTTCTGACTCTGAACTACTTTGCCCTCTGCAAATCCTGTCTCTGAACTGTGAATACCATAGAATTACTCCTTTTCTCTCCCTTGAAGATCACTATTACTGGACCCCTGCAGTACCTTGTCATGCTTATTTCCTGAGATAAGTACCAGAGCAGATGTTGACTTGGAAAGTTATTTTGTCTACTGCCATTTACCCTTAATAGCAGATGCCACCCTGCCCAAAGTCTGTCTACTCACCAAGTCTCTTCCTATTTTGAAGGCTACCTTCTCTTTTAGGCTGTCTCTTTTTTCCACTACTGGTGATTTCAAACTCAGCTCACTCAAGAATTGGAGTAATTTACATTACCTAAACCAAGTTAATTAAGCCCGGCCTGAGCCAGGGTGGTAACTGTCAATTTCCCCAAATTCTCTTTCAGTAACTCAGCTTTTAGCAATTTTCAAGGAAGTAGTTTACCAAACTCTTATTTCTGTAATGTTGAGATAGTAAAATATTTGGTAATGTGTTAAGAGAGACACATTCTCTTCCCCTAAAGGAAGAAGAAAATTTCATTATTTCATTGAAAGATGCCTTTCAATGTGACATAATTAAGTGATTAAAAAGCACACCTTGGTCTAGACAGGAAGCCATAGGTGCAGGTACCATGAAATCAATGCTAAAAATCTAAAATATGTATTCAAAAACTGTGTTCTAAGAAATATTTAGAATGTGTGACCCCTGAGCCTGTGCAAAAACTGTGTTCTAAGAAATATTTAGAATGTGTGACCCCTGAGCCTGTGCAAAATGAGTTGTAGAAAAATTGGAAAATCAAAGAAAGAGATCTTTTTAGGGAGTCTAAGCTATGAACTTTAGTTCCCATGATGCATGTCAGAAAGTACTCCTAGGAAAACAGACACAAAGAGTAAAGACTAGGGCACACTCTGCCTAATCAGACCTTTTCAAACTTATTTTCTGAAAGGAAAGCTAGAACAACTCTTGCTGTGTGGGGAATTTCTAGTCATCCCCCTTACTGTGAAAGTTATAGAGAAAAGAAACAAAACTCTGGGACTCCCTACAGCAATGGCCCACTAATAGGATTAAGACATTTGGAGAGTAAACAGCATACAAAGCCTTGAAGAAGTTGGTTCAACATACACATCTACCACCATGGTGCCACCCAACCAGCTGTCACCAGCAACAAAGACGTCACAGAGGAATTCACATGTCACATCACTCCTCTTCATTCTGCCCTCCATTCTTCACAGTTTTTACGAAGCACTTTGTAGTATAAGTTAAAATTTGGTTCCATCATTGATACACTCCTATACATCAAAGTGTGTTTTCTGATTGCTTACTGTTTTGGGCATTACAGTGCTTTTTCTACATTTCAAATTGATTCCTTTTATCTGTAAGTTTTCTTCCTTCTTTATTTGACAATATTTATGATATAATGAATTCAAATAATATTTACAGAACTCTTTACAGTGGATTTTTTTGGTATTTACTGAGGGAGAAACAAATATAAATTTTGCAGTTCTTTACACGCTAATATAAAATAAAACATTGTACAGTAAATTCAAGTAAAAAGTATTTATTAATATACAACAAATGAAAAGCACATAAGATTTGTATAAAATGCAACCAACTTAAGCAGTAAATACAATTGTAATAAATAATGCAATACATATATAATAAATACAAAACAGTAAGCATGATAAATAAGTGAATACACAAACACAATAAGCAATAAATTCAAGTAAGAAATATGCTACAAAATTTATAATAAGGAAATACAAAACAATAAGCATAATAAATAAGTAAATATACAAATACCATATACAATAAATTCAAGTGAGAAATACAAGACACAAAATTTAAAAATGCAAAATGTAATACATTCAAGAAATAAATGCAATATACATTTAAGTAATTCAAGTAATTTACACTCTAGCATATACAATAAACCACTGAATTTAATACCCATGATGAGTGATGTAAGAATTGAGCTTTCCATTCCTCTCTTTCTTAAGTGGAAAATTCAACTAATATTTCTGGTCTTCACTGCCTTTATTTGTAAAATAAGAAGGCAGTGTTGGTCAGTGTTATCACTAAGGTTTTTATAACTATAAATATCCTACTGATCTATAAATATTTGATGTTTGAGGAGGAAGCATGGAAGAATAGCAAACGCTGCTGGTGACCAAGGCAAAGTCTCCTTATTCCTTGGTCAGAGAGGCCCAGTTTTATTTGGGACAACAATACGCACGTGCTAGAGGTCGGCATTTAACACCTAATAATGAAATATTAACAGACGTTGCTGAGAGGAGCTTTAGGAAAAGTCTCTTAGGATAGAGATTTAAGCAGCATTCCTCTTTGGCCCTTTATACTTTATCCATTTTCAAATGCCCCAATCATGTACAAGAGTCTGGGGGTGCAGCAGCTAGCTGTGACCATGAGGTGGCAAACAAGAGGTCCAAATCTTACATTTTGAAGATGGGAATAGAAAGACAGAATCACCCTGAGTTCCTAATGGCATCCCTGAATTACCTACCCACAGATTTCTCTGTGTGTGTGCGTGTGTGTGTGTGTTTATAACGCAAATAAATTCCTATTTATGTAAGCCACTGGTAGTTGAGTTTTACGTAATTCCTAATGTAAACCTAATTCTAAATAAACAGAGAGTGAAGGAAAGTAGAAACACACCTATATAATTGTCATCATTATATTTAAAATAAAACATAATTATCTTTGTCTGAAATGACTTAGTTTTCTTTGGAACTAGATTAAATAAAAAAAACAAGAATTTTTTTTAAATCCCACAGTTATCTATAAAGAAACATGCAGCTGCAGAGTGAGACATTTTTGAAGCACCCTAACTTTTGAAAACTGTGCATAATTATGTATTGTCCAGCACCACTTCTTATTTCAACGACAACTAATTTGCTTTTGTTCATTCCAATTAGGTCAACATCCTTAATCTCCAGCAGGTCATTCTCTGGAGATAAGAGTTTCTGACACCAGCAGAACCTCTGTCCTCCGTGACTGGTCAGTGGGGTGGCAGCCCTCAGTGGAGAGCCAGCTTATGTGGAGCACGATGTGAATATGGGTTAAACCTCGAGATTGAGAGCACAGGACTCCCCTATATACACAGGCATCAAATTGTGAACTGTACTGTTGTTCCCCCAAAAATCAGCAGACCAGTTAAAGCTAAATTTTTTTGAAAAATTACACAAGAAATGATTCCTTAGAAAAGCCTCAGAGCTTTATCCAGTTCTTAGATATAACCCAAAGGAAAACTTTCATTATTTATTCCTTTTCCCTAATAAAAAAGTGTTATTTGTGGGATAAAAACCACTTCTTATTTTCCACCCTTACCTGCTACCCCACAACACACATGTGCACGCACACAAACACACACACACACACAGGCTCCTTTCTCGACTGGAAATTTAAGCACTTTGAAGGATTTTTTTTTTAAGATTATAATAGAAGCAATACAAAAACTTCAAACCTTAGACTCACTGTTTGAAAAAGTACTAGCCATTTCCTGCCATGAATAACTTCTCACTGGTTTGTTCCCCACTCATCAGCCACATACCACCTCCTCCGCCCCTCTGGTTGCTTTCCTCTGGTTCCTAGCTGCAGCCTGTCATACATCAGTCCTGTTAATATCTTACCTATAACATTTTAGTTCTCAGCCGTCTACCTCTAGCTTTATTCCACACTGAGATTTCTATATCCAAAAGTTTAAAGGCCTCCTCCTTTCCACTTTTTTGAGCTCAAAGAATAGGCAGATATTTTGAAATGACAGATTGTTAGATTCCCTATTCACTAGTCCCTTTAAGGAGAAGCTCCTGTGCATCATGAGTTCTCTTTTCCTCTTTCTGTCTCATATAACTAAATGAAAGAGACCTACTCAATTCATCAAACCTTTATTAACCACTGTCTGTATAGCAGATACTGTTCAGTATCAGCAAAACCTAAGGAAAAACATGCAGTCCCTTATCTTGAGAAGTTCAGAGTCAACATCTATGGAGACACAAATGTTGACATACAATTGTAAAACCCTGTGGTCATCACCACAAAAAAAAAAAAAAAATCATGTATAAAGAATTATGAGAACAAAGCTAAATCCTGTCAAATAAAATCTTCAAAATCTTAAATATGC